TATTAGTTATAACTCCGGCTTTTTACTATTATTGACTCACCATATATAATTATTAGTGATGTAATACAACTGTAACTTGGTATACATAATGCTGCAAATGGGCAATAGTTGGTTCGACATTTTCTTCAAGTCCCTCTATTAACTAGAGAAGTCTTTAAAATTAATAAGGACCAATATTGTATTTACATTTCCCAACAAGCTCTCTTCTTTAAATAAGGATCAATCTTGTTTGATTCCACATCTTCGGGATAAAATCAATGTTTGACTTTGTGTATTCTTCTCATACCACTTGTCCCACTAGTATGCATCACACATATATCTTTTTTGAACTGAGTATGTAATATTGTTGTAAAACGAGTAATAGTTAGTTTTACGCTTTCTTTTTACATTTCTAATACCATAAAATCATGTCCACATTTAATTGATACTGTACCTGCAACCCCTGTTTTGTTTAATTAGTTCAAATTTTACAACTGATCAAGCTACTAATTAATTATTCCCTCGCAAAGAAGATATTAATTAATTATTGGAGAAGGTATCATTGGGCCTTGAAGCGATGTAAGTCAGATAACAACGAATTTGAGTGTCCAACGACTAACCTGTGAGCATAGACGTGGTAATCTCTTCCTTTGAGATACTCTTTCGTAACGTACGGATCCTTAACCACGGGAGCGGCAGCAGCAACATCTGCAGAAATGGCATATGCCATTTGCACGGACCCACCTCCAAGGTCAATCACACCTACTGTCTTGGCGTACTCTCCTCCCAGCTTATCCAACAGATAGTTTAGAGCAACCTACTTGCAATATTAATTAATTTTAGTGGCATATATACTACTATTTTTTAGGGGAATATATACTACTCCCTCCGTCCGGAAATACTTGTCATCGAAATGGGTAAAAGGGGATGTATCTAGATGTATTTTAGTTCTAGATTCATCTCTTTCTATTTATTTTGATGACAAGTATTTTCGGACGGAGGGAGTACTAATTTGTGTAAATAGATACAGAGTGAGGAATGTAACGTATGAAATTCATTTAGTAGAATACCCATAAGTCAATGCAAAAAAAAAGTAGAATACCCATAAGTAAGATCCCTCCTGAGACCCCTCAAGAACGTTGATCCAACCAGGATTGTACTGGAACTTGCTCTTGGTGTGGACCACACCCCTGACCTGTAATTTAGAAAATTAGTTAGATTTTATCTAGATCACGTCTTAGTGTTAGATACAGATGCATCTAGAGAAATCTAAGACAAATAAATTGGACGGAGGTAATAGATTTTAATAAGTCTGCTCTAGATTGGAACAACTGTTGAAACAAGACTAGAAGTATCCCAAAAAAGAAAGAAACGGGACTAGAAAAAATATATCGAAATATACACTCAGCCTCTAATTAAGAGATGAAAAATATTTACTGCTTCAAGAATTTGCTCCGCCTGCTCGTCTCCTATCAGTCTTAGTCCGGCCGTCGCCTGCACATTATTTCAGTTTTGTTAACCAAGGAAAAACCTATACAACTACTCTTGCGGTTTCTTTTTTTCCACTTCATATTAGTTTTGTTGTAGTCAATCAAGTTTGACTGGATTTATTTTAAAAAGTACCAACATCAATATAATACCAAATAAATATAATATGAAAAATATTTCATGATGGGTCTAATTAATGATATTACTCTAGAATTGTGAATGTCGATTTTTTTCCCTATAAGCTTCGTCAGCTTTTATGATAAAGCTAACAAGAAATGGAGGAAGCATTCATTTGCTACTAATGGACTGACGTACCCCAAGCTTAACGGGTGTCCTCTTCATGAGCGACCGAGGCACAGCGCTGTTGGCCTTCTCAAGCAGGGGTACGATGGAGTTGGCAGCCTCCTGTGGCCGTCCGGCATACGAGCTCAGCCCGGGATTCACCTGCACACACGTGCTTAAAATGGGATAAAAGAGAAGAAAACGCATCATACCATAGGTGAATACGTGAATGGCTGATTGTCGTGCCTAATTTATACATACATACCGTGGCGAAGACCTCTATGTCGTCGCCAACGTCGACGAGCTCCATCCTCTTGTCGAACCGGAAGACGTGGACGCGGGTGCCAGTGCTGCCGGCATCCATGATGACCGCGTACTTCCCCGGTGCCGGCCGTGCCTCGACAGCACCACCAGCCTTCCGGCCAAGCACGACATCGGCAGACACGGACGAAGAGGCCAGGAGGAGGGGGAGGAGGAGGACAAGTGTGTGGATGCCCAGGGCGTGAGCCATGGCGACCGAGCTAGCTGCTGCACGCGTAGCTAGGTAGCTAGCTAGTGCAACTGCTGCTGCTCAAGCTCAAGTGTGTACTCGTGAGTTAGGAGGGTAGGGTTTTAAAAGAGATCGAGGGGAGGCAGCATTTCATTAATTAAGCAGTTTTCAATCCACGCGTAACACGCTCCACGTGCAAATATTCTGGCGGGGCGCCACTTGGCCGTGCGCGATCTCTCCTCGACTGTCGGTCTTTTCCTCCCTCCCTTATGAATGATATCACAAGAGATATGCACCACAATGTTAGGAGTAGACAGTCTTTTCCTCCCTCATGAATGATATCACAAGAGATATGCACCACAATGTTAGGAGTAGGGCTATAATCTGAAGAGTAGTAGTATTAATGTGTTTGAAAACTGCTAATGGAGCTCGAGCTCCATGGAGCCCGAAATTTGAAAAATTCAAAATCAAAATTTAGGCTTCAAAAAATTCTGAAAAAAGTACACATATGCCTATAAGGTTATACTACTTGTCCATAAAGTTTCATGGCAAATATTTTTTTTTGCAAGCTACACAAAAATAACAAAATCTTGTATTTCTAACACATGTGCTATCACTATAAAAGTGCATGATTTTTTTACTCTGTACAGCCCACATCAAAATGCATTTCATAACCAAATTTTAGTCACATCTAGTGAACATCTATGAGTACTTATGCATTTATTTTCAGTGTTGTTTGCAACTTTCAAAGTTGATTATTGGATTTTTGAAAAGTTTATGCTCCATGAAGCCCGAGAGCCAAAAGGCCTTGCTCGTCCGCTCTCTTATCCACCAGCAGATCTTTCTCTCTTATTATTATGCCCACTGGGCAGCAAGCTGTCAGAGGGATGCACGTACGTACCTTTATCTTACTTCCTCCGTTCAAAAAACTTTGTCTTTCAAATAGATGTATCTAGCACTACGAGGGACAAGTTTGGGACAACTTTTTTCCGGACAGAGAGAGTATATATTATAGTATTCCCTCAAAAAAAAAATGTTACGTATTATAGTATAACAACTAGAATCTTGCAAATGGTGCCCCTGCCCATGTGGTGTGATGCGATGAGGACGGCTTGGGACTTGCTACTCCTGCATTTAGAAAGTTACTCTCTCTGCCTTTGTCTGCTTCGAAGAATCAAAAGATTGTTGACCCAGATCCAATCTTGCTAATGGCCGGATTACGATTTTTGAAGTACGGCGTAGTGAGATGAAAGGAGATAGATAGGCACACCTCTAGAGGTAGAGAGACCACCGGCAGTACCGACAGAGGAAGCAACCTCCTTTCGCGGGCGAGCAGAAAGGTGGTGCGGCTTATGAGACCAGGCCCAATACACTTTGGGAAAAGCTGGTGTTTAACCGACCGATTTTTTTCTCTTACGTCCGCCGTGTCCTACGCTTGCCACGTGTGGCCAGCCCACCGCATCTATCCTTCAACCTTACCTCCCCTGGAACTATAGCGACAAATGTGTTTACGTAGCCCACTCCTATTCCTGCAACTGGTCATCTGTTTCAGAAAACAAACCGCGACAAATAGTATGTTGCAAACCGAGTAAAAGGTAACTCTGTTGGCGTTGGCCTCTCCAACCATGGCGGAGCGCACAGGGTGGCCGGACCCGAGCGGCGGCCGTCGATGCCGCCCAGGTATGGACAGGGATGAGCCTTGTCCAGCGAACCCAAGAGGGACTGCGACAACGATGCAGCCTTCCCTGGCGGATGACGTGCATCTCCCTTGTCGCCTCCGCCATGATGTGAGCCCGGAAGGAGGTTTCCGTTGCCGGCAGCGAAGCAGGTGCAGGATCTGCGACGCAACACCGCCAGCTCAGCCTCGCACAGCGGAAGTCGCGCGTGCCCGCCAGGCCGTGCCCCTCACACACCGATGAATATTTGCAACAACGGCGGAGTTGCAAAACGGCGACGGCAACGACACTAGTGCTGCTGCGGCAACATCTTTTGTTGTAAAAAAGCGACATCATCCATCTTGCAAAAGCTAGAAAATGGATAAAAAAACTGCACATGACTCGGCTGCAAAAAAATTCCTGTAACATGAGCTCTGTTGCAAAAGGTTCCGCAACACGGCCTTTGTTGCATTAATGAGGACAAGTCGTCAAATCGTCAAATCGAACGGCTGCCGAGGTAGCGGATCTTTCAAAAAGATCCACCGGTCGACGCGTAGCACGCCCCACATAAACTTTTCTTTATAGACTTGGGCAATTTGCTTAAATTGACCAAGAAATTCGGCCTGGTTGTGATAATTCAGGCATGTAACACAACCACATAAACTCGGCAATAAAGTGACTTTGTTTCACTCAACTTCACAAAACAAAACTGGTCTACTCATGTGTGAGTTTTCTGTGTTTGTGCTATACCTGGCCAACCACTGGGCCGGGCCTGACCAAACCTGAGGCAGAAAACCCAGGCTCAATCCTGGCCCGCGCCGACCATCAGGCCTACTTTTCAGGCCCTAGCCTGGCTCGTCAGAGGAAAACCCCGCTAGGCCTGGGACCTCGGGCCAGGCCCCTTGCCTAAAACATGAAATACCCAAGCCCAGGCCCACCCGACATGTGCTTCGAGCTTAAAAGTCGGGCCTAGGCCCGACCCGGCATGTGCCTTCGGCCGGGTCGGGTTGGGCCAGCCGGGCAGGGTATCCTGTGGCCAGGTATAGTGTGTGCACCCGGTTTAAGTGTCACCCACTTCGAATATGTGTGGACTGTTGCTTGGTTATCTTTGGGTGTTGGGCCAGCCTGATGCTAGGTAGTCTGGGCCTGGCCCATGGCATTCCCCCTCCTTTACCAGCGGCTTGACCCCAAGGCATGGCACAATAATGCTAAACATACAAAGAGTTACACACAATTACATGCTGACTAGGATTCTTTTATCTACTCCCTCCGTTCGGAATTACTTGTCGCAGAAATGGATGTATCTAGAATACGTCTAGATACATCCATTTCTGCGACAAGTAATTCCGAACGGAGGGAGTACTAACCAATCATTTACTTGCCCCCGCCTCCCCATCTATTGACCAATCAAATTAACTCTCTTTGTAAAACCCTGTAACTCGTATTCATTCTCCTATGTCTCTAGCGATGGCAGGAGCCTTGACCACTGCACCAATACTTCTTTGATGTTTGTATGATGGCGACTGCATTGGCGATGCTACAAGGCATGCTCTGATGCACCGTACATGATGACAACACTCCGTGCGCAATTGGGAGATAGGAACCACCGGATGGATCTTCATGTCAGTACTAGGGAAAATCTTATACACAGAATCTTACCAGTAGCGCGGTTTAAAACAATTCACTACTGTTACTTAGCAGTAGCGCGCTATAGAACACGACGCTACTGATATCAAAGTAGCAGTAGCGCGTAAGGTGAAAGGCGCGCTACTAGTACAATTGCCACGGCGTTGCCCCCAGACTAGGTATAGTAGTAGCGCCGTTTCCTTAAACACACTACTGCTAAAGTAATTAGCAGTAGCGCGTATCGCCAACACTCGCTGCTGCTAAGTATCATCCCCTCCGTGGAATTAAGTTTAGTCCCACCTTACTCCACGGACAGGATTTTTACCACCTTAAACTTCTCAAACTATCACAAGCACTTGGTCCTTATTGAACTCTATTATTTGTGGCTGCAATATGTATCTTCACCGGTTCCTAAACCGACGATGATTCATATTGACAATTTAGATTCTAGATTCTACACAAAACGATCATTGATTAGCAATGTATTTTTGATGTTTTTTACATGCCTAGCCTTAGTAGTAGCGCGTTTCCTGTAGAAAGTGCTAGTACTATTGGGCTTAGCAGCAACGCGTGTCTTGGGACCGCGCTACTGCTAATTCATCATATCCCCCCCGCCTGATCTACTTCCTCTCTCTCTCGCATCACTCTGTCACTCCTCACTCTCCTCGCCGCTCTCCTTTCCTCGCCGCCCGCCGCCGCCGAGGTAGCTCTCCCCTCGCCGCCCCTGCTCGCCGCCCTCCTCTCTCCCCCTCCTCTCGTCGCTTGCCGTCCTCTCTCCTACCTCCCTCCTCTCCCGTCCCCCGGCCCTCATCCTTCCTCCTCCTCCTCCCTCCCCCCTCCGTCCCGCC